TGGTGGGAGGGTGGCCTGGAATAGTGAGATGGGGCAGAGAGACCCCTTAGCAAAAAGAAACCCTAAGGCCAAATTCTAGGGTTTCTAACCCCAGCGCTATTGACATTTAGGGCTGGATAAGTGTTTGTTAGGAGTCCTTGGGTGGTGGTGCTAATGATTAAGCACTGGACTACAATCTGAGAAGTTAGTGGTCTGAACCCACCTAGAGGCACCCAAGAAGAAAGGCCTGATGATCTGCTTCTGAAAAGTCACCCCTTGAAAAGTCTATGGAGTGCAGTTTTACTTCGCACACATGGGGTTGCTGAAAGTCAGAAGCAACTAGATGGATTTTTTTTTTTTTTTTAATGTCTTTGTTGTGGAGACTCCTCTCTGTAATGTAGGATGCTGAGTGTCATGCCTGACCTCTACCCACTGGGCGCCTACAGTGTAAACATGCCTCCAGACATTGTCAAATGTCCCTTGGGGAATAAAATTGACACAAAGTGAGAGAATCCCTGCAGCAAACTGGGGGTGAGTGGTGAAAAGGAAGGGTGTTTAGAAAGTTGATTCCAGAGATTCAGTAACTGGTTGAGACCTGGGACTCTAGACACATTGTGATATAAACACCAGCACAAAACTATGTTACAACACTGGTAGTAGTTTAGAAATATAGATACTTCTGAGACCCAGAGTGAGAAGTCAGGCTGCATTTGAACATTTAAGATACTTATAAAATATTTACTTTATAGTCTGCAGGTATTGGTATAATTAACCTAATGGCAAAGTCTATTTTAACACTGATGATAACCAATACTTTTTAAAAAAAATTTATATGGACAGCCTTATAATTACTACACAAGAGGTACAAGAGAATAAAATTTTATAATTGCACAGCTGTTCACTGTCAAAATTCAGCCTAAAGCCTGCAGCTGTCTTTGACAGTCGTTGTGCAGAAATTGGGGCAAGGAGATGGGCAGTGTAGGATATAGCTTGCCCAGGGCCTCCTTCCCACGCCCCAAACTCCTCCTGTTCAGATGGAAGTTTTGATTATCTGATCTTTTCAACATTCAATATAGGAAAGATCATCCACTTCTAACAGTTTGCTTGCAAAAGGGAACTGAGATGAACACAGCAACATTGCAGAAGTCTTTCCCTGTGTGTTTGCCAGCCCCTTCTTTCAATTTGAGCTTTGCTAGACAGAGCCAAATTGGGGCTGTAATTAACTCAGCAATAGATTTAAAATATTGCATCTGGCTACATCTAATCCATCTCACATGAAAGGCTCCAAACCGACTGTCTCTGGGGACAGTAGTCAGGCAGCATCTTCAGTTTGCAATCTATTTAATATCTCTGAGTATCCTCACACACAAGTATGTTAAATGAATACAGACCAAAAATCAGCACTTGAATAAAGGAAAATAGGGTGAAAGGGATAAATGGAAGGTTAGTGGGGAGGGTAATTATTCTCCTGTGCACAGCTAACCTGCAACTGAATATCTGTTTGGTGAAGTACTCTTCAGCCCTACCATGGACAGGCATACCTCAGAGATACTGAAGGTTTGGTTCCAGACTGCTGCAATAAAGCAAATTATCGCAATAAAGCAAGACACACAATTTTTTTTTTTGTTTCACAGTGCATTTAAAGGTTATGTTTATGCTGTACTATAGTCTATTAAGTGTGTAATAACATTATTAAAGTTTGAGATATTGTGAAAATTTCCAAAATGTGATTCAGAGACATGACGTGAGCACACACTGTTGTAAAATGGTGCTGATAGATTTGTTTGACACAGGGTTACCACAAATCCTCAGTTTGTAAAAAATTCAATATCCTCAAAATGCAATAAAATGAAACACAATATAACAAGGTTTGTTTGTATTAATACTAAAAGCAAACAAATAAACAAATTGCTGTTAAGTCTACTCCCAACTCATGGTGAACTCATGTGTTTCAGAGTAGAACCATTCTTCAAAGGATTTTCAGTGGCTGATTATTTTTAGAAATAGCCAGGCCTTATATAAAGTGCCTCTGGGTGGACTTATACCTCCAAACATCGGGTTAGCAGCTGAGCATGTTAACCATTTATACCACCCATGGGGCCATATGAGTATTACTTGGATTTGATTGGTCTAGGGTGGAGCCTGAACATCAGCAAGCAGGTGTGAGGTCAGGGCTGTCATTGACAGCTGCACAAGTTGTGCACTGCATGATTCCAATACCCATGTAGCTTATGATGTAGCTGGTTCTCATGAAGTTTAACACTGAAGAGGCCTGGTTGTAAGCTATTAACGGTGGAAAGAATATGAAACTTGGAAATAGCTAGATCTGGATCTAAATGGCAGATTTCTCAGTGACGAACTGTGGAAATGGGCAAATAAGTTAACCTCAGCCCTCTCTTCTGTAAGATGGGTTGGTAACAAATATATTGTATCTATTTTATAGGGGCTCTGGTAGCACAGTGGCTAAGACACTTGCCTGCTAACCAGACGGCTGGCGGTTCAAACCCACCAGCCACTCCTCGGAAGGAAGGTTGGGCAATCCTACTTCCGTAGTGATACTGCCTCGGAAACCCAAGGAGGGGTCGCTATGAGTCGGGGCTGACTCGACGGCACATAACAACAACAACAACATTTTATAGGGAATTTTGTGAAAATTAAATGAGAAAATCTTGTAAGTCAGGTACTCTAAAGTCGTAGATGCTCAGTGCTGTGGTAGACCCTTTAAGTCTTTGTGAAGAGTATCTCATGATCTCCTTGAGACCCAGCTCTTCTCTTGAATATCTGATTCCTTTTGATGTCTTACTCTTTCCAGGCTGGACTCAACAAGTCTGACAGGCTCTGTTGAAATAGCAGGCAACCTAATATGTGCTTCTTGGAGTCTGGGTGGTGTAAACAGTTAACATAGTGGTTTTAGTCCACTCAGAGGCACCCAGGAAGAAAGGCCTGGCAATCTAGAGCTCAAAAAACAAAAAAATCAGCCATTGAGAACACTGTGGAAATAGTTCTACTCTGATACACATGGGGTCACCATAAGTTGGAATCAACTAGATGGCAACTGGAAAAAAAAAAAAAAAAGCTTCTTTTTGAGTTCTGCCTGGGTCTGTAGTCCCCTCAGCCATCACAATGGAATTAATTGCAGCCAGTATTCTCTGAGCATTTTTCAGAGATACTTATTTGCATTTTCTGGTTATTTTTCCTTGACAGCTTTAATCTGTAAAATAAATAAATTGAGGGAGGTTTTTGGAGAGTTCTTTATTGTTGAATTGTTCTGTAAAAAAAAGAAAAAAAAATTTTTTTGGCTTCTCTCAAGGAATTACTGGAATCCTGCCCCATGAATTAAGCTTGTAATGCTAGTGACAGAAATGAAAAATTATAAAATCCTAATTAGCCTTTGAGTTAATGCCAAGGCAGTTAGTACTAGTGAAGTAAACAATGCCTCAGGAATAAGTTGTTAGACTCATGTTGACAAGAATAAAAGAAAAATTATGTTATTTTTCATTTCCACCTCAGAGCTCTGAAGGTGGTGGTCAAGGGCTTCATATGGTGTTTCCATTTCTTGTTCAGTGACTTAAGCAGATTAGCTGAACTGGCTACTGTTGGCCTTTAATTATTCACTGAATTAAATAATGATTGTTGATGCAGACATTGTGATCAGTTAATTGATCGTTTAGAAATGCCCAGCATATCGCCATTCAACATGTATCACCTTATAGATCAAAACTCCTCTGTCCTCATGAGTAGGCTACCTCATAAAAAGTTGCACTGCACATACAAATACTACAAATTTATTCACTGTTTATCTGAAATTCAAATTTAACTGGGCATCTTATATTTTCATTTGCTAAATAGGACAACCCTACCAATGAAGGATGTTTCTCCCTTCTATATGCATGTTTCCTAGTCAATAATAGCTTACATGCATGGCATCAGGATGAGTGATGAGGTAGGCCGGCGAGGAGAAGCCAAGGACAAGGTTTATGCCCTCTCAGCTCTGACAAACGCTTCCTTCCTGGCAGAATCTTTAGCATCCATCAAGGATGATGCTATTTCTTTAAAGGTCTAATTTTCTGTTTCCTTTTCAATTTGATTTGCAGTAAGACCCAAGTAAATACTTGACTCTGATAATTTATTTGAACTAAGTATCATATCTGTTGAATAAAATTATCATTACAGACAGGACAAAGGAGAGGAGAGGAATAATAATGGCGATTTTGTTTTCTTTCTTTTTTTAAAAAAATTGTGGTGAAAATATGCAAAACTAAACATACGCCAACAGTTTCTGTATGTACAATACAGTGACTTTGATTACTTTCTTCAAGTTGTGCAATGCTTCTCACCATCCTCTTCCAAATCATTCCAATTAATGGTGATGCTTTAACTAACATTTATTGGGCAATTGGTAAATCCCAAGCATGAAACCAAGTGCTTTGTACACACTTCTACTGATCTTCATGTCAGTGCTCTGAGTAAAGCACTATTATTATTCTCTTTTGTAGAACAGAAAACTGAGGCTCAAAGAGTTTAAGCATCTTGCTTAAGGTCCCTTCCTAGGAAGTGGAGGAGAAGAAGAATGTGGCTTCCTCCAAAATGGTCTACTGGAGAGCAGTGGTTCTCAACCTGGGGTGATTCTGTCCCCTTGGGTCTTTTGGCAGCACCAGGAGACATTTTTTGGTTGTCATGACTCAGGGTGAGTGGTGAATAGTGCTACTGGCATCTAGTGGATGGAAAGACAAAGGATGCTCATAAACATCCTACACATACATTCAATAGCCCCCACTAGCAAAGAATTATCCAGCCCCAGTTGCTAACAGTGCTGAGATTGAAACAATCTTGCTATAGAGAGAAGGCAGGAGAAAAAAGGGGGAAAGGATCTCTCCTGTTACTGTTTCTATCTGAATGCAACTAAGGCATGTTGTGGGCTTCTGTGTGGCATGGCCTTTAGCCATTGGAATGTAGGAACAGGCCCAGTTAGAGGTGAGCAGCCCAAGGAAAGGTTGGCATCCTACTCGCCAATTACTTACCAGAGTCTGGGATTTCTTGATAATGTGTCTTGCCTTCTCCAGTGCAAATTTCCATGCTTCCTACAAAAGGACAGTTAAACAATATTACAACTTGTTTCCTATCTTTTCTTCTATGTCTAGTATAATGTTAGCATTTTAAAAGTCCTTAAGTTTGCAATACAGAAATGATTTAATAAATTTGTGATAAAATGATTCACAAGAAGGCAATTTCATGTTAATAACTGTCTTTATTAAGGGCTTTACTTTCTGCCAGACACTGTGCCAAGTGCTTTATAAACATTATCCTATTTAACTTGCACAATAGCCTTGAGGATATGACCATTTGACAGATGAGAAAATTAAGATGCAGAAAAGTTGAAACATTGGCCCCAAATTGCATAGCTAAATGCAATTTGAACCTCTGCTTTCCTAACTGCTATGCTATGTCCATATCCCTAAGTAACTTGTGTCTGAAAGTTGTCACCAGCAGGAAACTGTTAACAGCTATCTCCATGTCTTATGTTGCAATAACAGCAGGTCATAGGCAGGGCTGAAGAATGGTTGTTGACTGCCATCCCTGGTCATAGTCCATCTCTCATTTACCTTCTCTTCTCCTGGTTAAATATCCCCTATTCTCATTAAACCATTTCTAAAGCATTTAAGTGCATCTGCCAAGTTCACATTGCAAGTATGAAGAGTAAGCTAATGATTTTCAATAACTACGTTTATGAAATGGGCACGGTGTTTGTTCAGTGGTAGAATTCTTGCTTTCCATGCGGGACACCCGGGTTCAATTCCTTTCCGACACACCTAGTGTGCAGCCACCACCCTTCTTTCAGTGGAGGTTTGTGTGATGCAATGATGCTGAACAGGTTTCAGCAAAACTCCCTGACAAAGACAGAAAAGGAAGAAAGGCTGGCCATCAACTTACAAAAACCAGCCAGTGAAAACCCTGTGGATCACAACAGTCTGATTTGCAACCGATTAGGGCCAGGCAGCATTTCTATTTGTTATACATGTGATAGCCATGAGTCAGGGGCTGACTTGATGACGACTAATAATAGCAACAACATAGTTATGAAACTCCAAGGACCACTGTGTTTGTATGTCTGTGGGAGGGATGGGAGGAAGGCACTAGAGGTGCCCAAAGCGTTTTTTCCCTCCACACTGCAAACATGGACAGTAAATTCTCAATATTGGATAAGAATTAGTATATCCTTTCTGTATCTTTTACAAACAATTAAGCATATGAAGTATTTCTTTAAAATAAACTACTAGACAAGAAGAGTTTAATGTTTTCCCGTCCTTGGGAAATGTGACGCTAAATTTCTTTGGCTTTCTGCCTCATAACAATGCTGTCGACTCCACTTTTTTTTTTTTTTTTTAAATCGTCTTTTCATGAGTCCACAAATTTAGCCACTTTTGCACAGCTTTATCACATACTACAGTTAGTATGTTAGCACTTTCCAGAGTAGCCTCACATACAGATTAATGAACTTCCTTTTCCTTTTTTCTGGATGTACCATATTGTTGATTCATTAACATTGAACTCACAGCCAACAGCACTGTAACTCATGCCCAAATGAAGCTATCTAACTTGAATATTTTCTCTAAAAGGCACATCACAGCCTTCTTGTACTTAGTAACACTAGGCAACACCAATACTATATTTGGGTGCCAGTGAAACCACCACCAACAAAAAGCACAAAAATGTGAAAAACGAGGTGCTAAATAGCTCACAAAAAGGATATTTGTTTACAGTATGAGAGCTATAACAAGAATGCAGAGTATCACCTTGTTCAACCTCAGCTGGAAATGTGTACATTAGGAGACTGAAAAGTTTTCACTGTCTTGTGCATGTATGCAAATTACCATAAAAGTGCTATGAGTCACAAGTAAATTTTACTGAGTAGGTGAGTTCACAAGTATGGAATTTATGAATAATAAGAATTGATTATAACTGTTACCATCCTCATCTGTACGAAGCTTAACATTTAGTGCGAAAATAAAAAAATTGTATATGTGTGAATTTATTAAGGAGCTCTGGTAGTGGGTAAGGCATTTGGCTGCTAAACAGAAGGTTGGCAGTTCAAACCCACCAGCTGCTCTGCTGGAGGAAGTGGAGGTAATCTACTTCTATAAAGATTTACAGCCTTGGGAACACAATGGGGGTTGCTTTGAGTCTGAATCAACTTGATGGCAGTGGGTTTGTTTTTTAGTTTTGGTGGCATAGTGGTTAAAGCATTTGGCTGCTAACAAAAAGTTGGTTGTTCAAACCCACCAGCTGCTCCATGGGAGAAATATGAGATAGTCTGTTTCTGTAAAGATTTATAGCCTTGGAAACCCTATGGGGAGTTCTATGCTGTCCTAAAAGGGTCACTGTGAGTCAGAATTGATTCAATGGCAGTGGGGTGGGTAAGTTTATTAAAATAAGAAATGTAAAAAAATATAGAGAAAATGAAAGCTCTACTGGAAAAAATGGGAGAGAGAAAATGAAAAAAATTCTTCCTTTGGGAGGAAGAAACTCTTATGCTGAATTTTTCAAAGGACAGCACATAAAACAACAACAACAACAACAACAACAACAAGGTTTCAACAGTTACAAGTGGGTGGGCAGGAAAGAATATGTTAGGCAGAGGGGACATTATAAGTAAGTATTTGGAAATGTAACAGCTGGGGCACAATGAAGTGAATAATTCAGACTTTCTGGCCTACGTAAAAGGAAGCAAAATAGAGAAGCCTGTGAAAACAGGTGATGTTTAAAGAGGGAAGGTGCTGAACGTCGTGATAAAAGTTTAGTCTTTATTCCAAAGGCAGTTAGTTGTTAGCTATGGAATTTTGGAGCAGGAGTGTGTCAGCTTTGACAGAAAAGAAAAGTTAAGAAGATTAAAATTGGAAAAGGTCAAGCATCATTTTCTCCTGTAGTTACTAATTCAAAATGCACTCATAATAATATAAGAAAGAGAAGCTAGATAAAACCCAGCTCTTCTCCCCACCCCAGAAGAAAATGAATGTAAGAACTCAAAGACATTGGAAAAAGTTACTTTGTCTTAATGACAAACAGAGGAGGCAAATTTCAATGAGTGTAAAAATGAAAATAATTGTCTCCTTGGCAATCGTTTCATTGTTGGCAATTTTATGTTAAGTCTTTGTTTCTAAACTACGAGGACTACTCTTTCATCTCAAAAATTAGAACTTCAGAATGGAGAATGCAATTCTAATGAGTGGCTAGAGAAGAAACTTGGAAATGGATTGCAAGCTGGATACAAAACTCTCAGGTTGGAAGCCAAAGAGGTGCTTAGGGCTCAGCTAAAGCAATCATCTGAGGCATGAGCAGATTCTCCACCATCAATGAGGGGCTAGGTTCTGGAAGCATTCATTTGATCCTGCAATTTGTTACAGTCAAATCTTTTCAACTTATTACTTTCTCCCTTGGGTTATCATGTTTCAAATCCAGCTTCAAATCCCATCCAGAGTCTAATTATTTAATATCTTCAAGAAGAACCCATCACACAGGCTCATAGAGATATAAATCCTCAGTATGGGGCTTATGGCCCATGGATATGCATATTGGATTTCTTTACTTAAGAACTTAGAAAATGGCCAAGGACGGCAGTCTACAGAATAGGAGAGGGCAAACTTTCCCATGATTGTCTGACTTCACAGTGGCATATACCCATGGTGGCTCGCTAAAACACTTATCTAGAATAATTTAAATATTCATCCAAAGCAGAGCAAGCCTGAAGTCTTCAGATAAGAGGAGAGGCTTGGTGACTAATTGACTGTTTTCATTCTCCAGGGTAATTGTACTTCTGGACTGTGGTATCTGAGCAGTTTGGATAATGGAAGATTAAGGGCCAAATGCTGTTGCTATGAGTTTTTTGGTCAAAGGAGCAAACTGGTAGGGATTGTGCTCTGCCACACAATAGCTAAATGTGAGCCCAAGCAAAAAGAAGATAGTTGCCTAATACATTTAGGAGTTTAAATGTGGGTGAAACTTCTAACTTCCATGTAGACCCTTTAAGTACTGTATTTGTTACTAAATCATGATCTCCATTGTTATTTCCCATTTAAAGTGAGTTTGGTTGTGAGAGTGTTTGCAGGTTTAAATTCTGGCTTCTTCAGAATTGTGGCCTTCAACAAATTATTTAAGCACTCTGAGCCTCAGTTTCCTTGTCTGTTTGAACAGGATAGTTTGCAAAGTACTTAGAATACAAACTTACTGCTGTTGAGTTGCTTCCAACTCACAGTGACCCTATAGGACAGAGTAGAAAGGCCCCATAGAATTTCCAGTCTTTACCAAAGCAGACTTCCATATTTTTCTCCCATGGAGTGGCTGATGGGTTCCAACGACCAATGTTTTGGTTAGTAGCTGAATGTTTTAACCACTGTGCCACCAGGGCTCAGTACTTAGAATAGTGTCTCATATACAGTAAGCATGGCATTAGTGTTCACTACCATTGTTATATGTATTACCAATTATGTTACCAACACACAGTGAGAACTATTACAGTAATGGCAACATCAGCCTATACAAATGTATGCTACTTTTCAATGGTGCTGAAAAATCATCCTCAGAGGAAAGTATTATTTTCCCCATTTTACAGGTGAGAGAATTGAGGTTCAGAGAAGTTACATAATTTAATCAGGCCCCTCTACTTGCAGAGCCCAACTGGTCCTTAAGTCTCTGGACTAGTTCTTTGCCACCATTCCCACTCTGATTTCCAAGAATAAATTATGCCTGAAATTTTAACATAAGCAAGAAAATATGACCGATGTGGTTTTACCAAGGTTTAGGAGAATGGCACATGTAACTCAAATGGAGTATGGATGATTTAATGCAAAAGATTGGATAGTAAGGGGAGAAAATGTCTCTGTATATCAAGAAGCCATGCACTTGTGTGGAAATTCATATAACCAAGGATACAAACATGATATCAAGCATATAATTGGTAACATAACAAGAACAAAACAGTCATTCATTTATAGTCATTTCCTTCTTTCCAGTCATTCATTCCACAAATACTTCTTGAGTGTCTCTATGTTGTGTCATTGTTTCGGTTCTCTAGTTGCTGTAGCAG